TGTGTGTGTGTGTGTGTGTGTGTGTGTGTGTGTGTGTGTGTGTCTGCTTTGTGTGTCCTTTGTGTGTGCTTTGTGTGAGTGTGTGTGAGAGTGTGTGTGTGCTTTGTGTGCTTTGTGTGCGTGTGTGCCCGCGTGCGGCTGCTCTCGGTCGCCAGCGGCGCCGCAGAGGGTCAGTGCGCCGCGCTCGAGGGGCAGGTGCCTGGACGGTCGAGGATCTGTTGGGCTCAGGTGGCCTCGCGCTGCCGTCCCCCCACGTCGCGCAGGCGCCGCCCCTCGCCGTCGCCGCCATCGGCCCCAGCGTCGCGCGTGTGGGCACGCGCCCCCGAAGTCCCCACGAGCGCGGCACGGCGGCCGCGGGGCGCACCTGCGCGCTCTTGGCGTATGCGGTGCGCTTGATCTGGCCGGGGCGCTTCTTGGTGAAGGCGATGGCGAACATGCGCAGCGTGTAGCCGTCGGTGGTCTTGACGTCCACGTGGGCCTCGATGAGCGACTGCCACTTGCGCACCATGGCGCGCAGCTTGTCGGTGGTGTAGTCCATGCCCCAGAACTGCGTGAGGCAGTTGCGGCCCTGGACGTCCTCCACGCGCAGCTTCATCTTGCGGTACGCGTCCTCCTCGTTCTGGGGGGCGCACGCGCGCGCGCGTGTGTGTGTGTGTGTGTGTGTGTGTGTGTGTGTGTGTGTGTGTGTGTGTGTGTGTGTGTGTGTGTGCGCGCTTGTGGGTGTAAGCGCACGGGAGTGTGCGCGTGCAATTGTGAAGGAGACAGAGGGGTGGGCACCGCACACGCAGGGTTAGGGTGCGCGCCAAGCTGCAGGTGGGCGTGCGCAGGTGGTTGGGAGGTGGGGACGAGATAATCTGGGAGAGCAGGAGAGGGCTTTGCTGGGAGCGTCAACAGCTGTGCCCGCCCGCCTCTGCTACTTGCGACGGCCGCCTTTTCGCGCCTGGCTGCGCAACCGACCGTCTCTGCGCGCCCCGCCCTAATAGAGCTGCCTCTGCTGCCCGGTGCTGCTGCTCCCGCCGTCCTGGCTCCTCTGTCCCCTCTCCTTGCAGCCTCCTCTGCAAACACTGACTGCTTGTCCCTCCGAGGCCCGTTCAGCCCGTTGCACCCCAGGCGCAAAGCCAGGCATTCCCCTGTCAAAGCACCGCGGCGAGGCCTCCAAACGAGGAAGCACCGCCCAACGCAGCCGCAGCCCCCAGCAGCCCCAGCTGTGGCCGCAGAAGCCGCTGCCACAGCCACAGCCCCAGCTGCTGATCCAGCGGCAGCGGCAGCCGCGCACTCCGCCGCACACACAGCGCCCCCAGCGGCAGCGGCAGCCGTAGGGGCGCACCTTCTGCAGGTCGGCCAGGGAGGTCTCAAACACGCGCCCCTTGAGGCCGTCGGAGGCGATCTGGGGGAGGCGTGAGCGGAGGGAGGGGGCGCGTCAGCCGTGCGGACACACCGCTGGCACTGTGGCGGGCGGCCCACTGAGTTTTGAGTGGGTTGGGGGAGGAGGGGCGCGCCCCTTGGCGCTGTACGACGCGATCTGAATAGCGCGGGCACAGCCAATAAGAGTTGGCTGGTGGTGCTTCTCTCAGATGCCTGCACCTTCTGCAAAGTAAAGCCACGAGAAGGTCAAGCGAGCGCGTCCCCCAGTGGCCGCGCCAAGCAAGCTGGGTGCTGCTGGCTGCCCGGCTGCGAGGCCTGCCAGCTGCCATTACCCAGCACCAAGCCAGCCCACGCGCCCCAGACGTAGATCTGCTCGGGGCCCGACGCTGCTGCCGCAACGAGCCTGCCACGGCAGCCCAGCCCCTTCACGGCTGCCCATGCCAATCCCAGCCGACCGCGCGGGGCGCCGCCCCCACTCGCCGCTGCCCTCCCAGCCTCGGCCGCTCGCCGGCGGCGCGCCGCAGCCGCAGCGCCTGCCCGTCACCTTCCGCGGCGCACACACGCGCGCGCGCGCACCTTGGTGCCCTGCGTGCGCGTCACCAGCGTCTTGCCGACGTTGCGGACCACGAACATGGAGGGCGCCTTCACATCGTACCAGTCCTTCTTGCTGAAGGGGTCCACGGCCTTCTTCTTGCCGCCCTTCTTGCCCTTGCTGCGCGCGCACGGAAATGGGGACCAACGCACGCCTTGGGCTTGAGGGCATGGTGGCGCCGCCGTTGCCGCTCGCTATGTTGGGTGCTGGCGGGCCTGGTTCGGTGCCAGCCTGGCCGTTGCCCGCCGCACCATGCAGCGCGGCGTTGTCGACGCGCGCATCACTAGCAAGCGAGGTGCTGCGGGGCGCCGCCACTACTCAGGCATCAATGCCACCGCAGTTCCCACAACTCATGGTTCATAGAATTTAACTTGCTCCTGGCCACAGCGCAGGCCGCGGGGCGACCGCCATGAGCCGAACAGGTGCTGGCTGCTCAAGCACTGAACGCTTTCCACGAAGAGATGATGAGATTGCTGTCCCATGCAGACGCTTTCTGGCAAGACGATGCACTTGGGTTTGGTCCGCGCCCACAGATCAGCAGAGGCTCTGAGCACTCACGAAATGCGCTTGTTCTTGCCGACCGCCATGGTTCCAAGTGCCAGGGCCTGCTGAAAAGGGCGAACTTACTGCGGGCGCCGGCTCTTGACGTGCAGCGCGGCGACTGCAGTAACCGCCTGCATCCCGGTCGTTTTATCTCTGTGCTTCGTTTTAGGGTGCACACGGCAACAACCCGCTTCATCAGCTCGTGAAGGGTGTGGCTGGCACAGCGGGGCGTGGGATGGCAACACAACAAGCGGCTTTGACTTTAAAGTTGACTAAGCATTTTGGTTTGAGGCTCTTGCATACGGGCAGGTCGAAAGTGCTGGTGGGGCCCTGCCTGAGCGTGCTGCTTTTGAAATGCAAGTAAGAGGTGACATTCAGCGGGGCCGGGGTGGAGTGTGATGCAGTGTGCTTGCAGGGTGCAGCAGCCCATCAGCATTGGTGGCAGCACGATTGGCAGCCTTGAATGCGAACCCCTCAGCCCGGCTGGAATTCACAGCCCTCCCCAGTACCTCACAAAGACGCGGTCATTCTTGTTAGTGTGAGATAAACGTGGGATTGTGGTGCGCGGTGCACTCAATGGGGATGTGAGTCGTGTTGCGCGCATTGCCTGGAACGAAGGACGCATTGCAGCAGCCGATTCAGGTAAAGCATGGTGCGGTGGTGACGTAGACGGGCTCAATAGCTTGGGGACGCTGGAGAGCTGCTGCGTGGCACTGTGAGCGGGGCGGTGTGGCGTGGCGTCGTGGGGTGGCGGCCGTGGGCCCATGTCTGGTGGATGTCCGTCTCCGCCCCCCCCCCCCCCC